GGAAGTATGTTAGTGGCGCCACCCTGATGGTGGACGAGGGGGCTGGCTGGCTGTGTCATGGGCAGTGGAGAGCGCTGGCGTTGACTTTTGAGTCGACTCAAAGGTCACCTGGCTGGATGTGTCATGGGCAGTGGAGAGCGCTGGCGTTGACTTAAAGCACACCTTCCTCTCCCCCTACCCCCCCCCCCCTGCAGGGAAGTATGTCAACGGGGCGACCCTGGTGGTGGACGGCGGCGGCTGGCTGTATCGGCCGCGTGTCTTTGACAGGGAGGTCATACAGGAGGTGTCTCGGGCGGTGGAGAGGCGATCCAGGAAGGCTGCACCTGGTGCAGGCGCACCTGCTTCTGGAGGGCAACAAAGGAGCAAGCTTTGAGAAATTGGATGGTGGTCAGAGTTTATCGCAGCAGTGCAGCAAAAGAAACCATTCGTAGTCTAGGGACAGCCATGACATGACATACTATTACCGAATGATTGTTGGTGGATTGTTTCTTGTGTATGATATCTAGTATGGTGATATAGTGTGTGATGTGTCTAAGTAATGAAATTGACGTCCTTTTTTAGGTTTGATTGTTAATAGGTGTGGGGAATATGGTATGACTCTTAGGATGTCATGTTACTCAGTTTTGTACAAAATGTAAATAGGACCGATGAGACTTTGGGGGGGACGTAACGCATTTGGAAAGGGTGCTCTGCTTGTTCGAAAGATGAAACACAGACGTGGCGCACGAGGAGTGGTGGAAAACTCTTTGTGTTGTCAGAACGGTCGAAATTGTGTCGTCTCGAGCTGCTGATACGGTACCTTCTCCCCATCCCGCCATTCCCAAGGACCATGTCGTTTCATATGTGGTATTCCAAAGGCTCCCCAAGTGCCTGAAACCGCTCTGCACCACACCAGCTGACGTTGAGAGACAAGAAGCATTCTGTGGAGGATTCTTGATGTTTCTGCTGGCACCTGACGAAATGTTTCGGATTCCTAGCCTAACTGGAGAGTCATCTCTAGACTCTAGACTATTCTTGGCTCTCATTTCCAGTCGTCATGAACTCTAGAGCCGCTGGCTTGTAGAAAAGCAGCAATCAAAAGTCATGAAGACATTTCCGCTTTCCATGCGGAAAACTACATCCGAAGAATACTAAGGCTCTTGTCTCAGCTGTCAGTTGCGAAAGGCACCTGGCTCGTGGCTCGTGGCTCGTGTTCCTGAAGTACGCTGTCTCGAAGTTTGAAGCCTCGAAAGGCAGTACCCAATCTTGGTAGGGTTGCAATCAGGCTGACAATAGAAGGCCATCCTATTGTGAAGCTCCTCGTGGACATCTTTACCAGAACTACAACGCATAGCGATATAGTATGACGCGCTATTGTAACAGCATCATGGATCGACTCTCCATTCTTACAATCCCTCGCTAGGCAGCTCAACCCCTCATGCCACGTGGCACGAACGGTCCAGATGGATCGAGGAGCTCAAACGCCAATGGCGTCACTCCAGTTGGCGTTGATGACACCGGATCGACGAGACCCTCTCGTCTCATGGCAGCTACGCTCCAGATCCTCACTCTCGCCTCGCTCTCCCTTCTTAGACCGTGCTGGCTTCACCTCCCTTACATTCTCTCCTGCAGCTGGTGGCTCGCGTCTCGACCCCAACTATTACACTTAAGACCGTTCAGGTGAATCTCCATTCAGATCCTCACTCTCACCCGGCTCCCCCGTCTTAGACTGTGCTGGCTCTATTTTTCCTTCCATTCTCGTCTGCTGCTGGTGGCTCGCGTCTCGACCCCAACTGTTGCACCTAAGACCGTTCAGGTGAACTTCCTCTCAGATCCTCACTCTCGCGTCGCTCTCCCTTCTTAGACCGTGCTGGTTCTATTGTCCTTTATGCCGAAACTGATGTAGTTTAAGTTAATCACCCTAGATTCAGTTTGTTATCGCTTCCCTTTGCATCTCCCCTCCCCCATCCCTCAGGCGCCATGCTCCACATCATGTCTAGCTTCCTCTTCTTCACCCCTCCTCTCCCTTCCTCCCCCTACTACCCCCCCCCCTTCCTTCCTCCGTTCCCTTGCATCCCTCAGGCGCCATGCTCCACATCACACCTGGCTTCCTCTTCTTCACCCCCCCTCCCCTTTTTCCCCGCCCCTTCTCTCCGTTCCCTTGCATGTCTCAGGCGCTTTACTCCGCGACTACACCGCTCTGCACGTCCTCCCCCTCATTTTCTCCCAGCTGCCTCGCTGTCCCACAGCTAACTTCCTCTCAAAACCCTTCTCTTCCGCTCCTCTCCCTTTCCCTGTTCCCTAGCATGCCTCAGGCACCACGCCTTACTCTGCGCCTACATCGCTCTGCACATCCTCCTCCTCTTTCACTTCCACCTCTCTCTCTTCGTCTCATGCCTTCCTTTCCCTTTCCGCTCCCGCTCCCGCTCCCCTCCCATTCTGCTCGTTCCTGTGCATGTCTCGGGCGTCGTGTTCTGCTCCGCACCTACACTGCTTTGCACATCCTCGCCTTGTTTCTCTTCCAGCTCCTTATTTGTCCCACACCGTTCCTCCCTCTTCCCCTCGTCCCCCCACTCCCACTCAGGCGCCGTGCTCTACTCCGCGCCTACATTGCTCTGCACATCCTCGCCTTGTCTCTCTTCCAGCTGCCCCTGCGTCTCACACCTTGCTTCCCTCGACTTTCCTCTCCCCTCCCCGTCTCCCCGTTCCCTTGCATCTTTCAGGCGCCGTGCCTTACTCCGCACCTACATCGCTTTTCACATCCTCGCCTTGATTCTCTTCCAGCTGCCCCTCTCACGAGAATGGCGGCTGCTTGTGCAATGGGGGCAGACACTTGGCCTCTTCCTATTGGACGTGAGGGAGATTCTGGACCCCCTGCAGGTGCTGCATGTGCTGGAAACGGCTCTGCTTCTCTCCTCCTTCGCATTGGTGAGTGAATATGAACCCTTCATGGAGGGTCTATGACCTGCCTCTTCATATGAGGCGTGAGGGAGATCTGGATCCCCTGCAGGTGCTGCATGTGCTAGAACGGCGCTTCTGCTCTCCGCCTTTGCACTGGTGAGCGAATGTGAACCCTTCATGGTGGGTCTATGATCTGCCTGCCTCTTCCTATGAGGCGTGAGGGAGATTCTGGACCCCCTGCATGTGCTGCATGTGTTGGAACGGCGCTTCTGCTCTCCGCGTTTGCATTGATGAGGTTACCGCTTTTCCCACTCCTCTCACTCTGCTTTTCCAATATTGCATACCTTTTCGCTTCTCCAACTGTTCCTCTTCCCTCTGAGTTCCCACGCCCCGATCTAACTTGCCCTCTCGGCCTCTGTTTCTGTCCTTGCTCCTCCGCCCCTCTCCAACCTCCCTCCTTCTTGTACGGATTCTTCCACCCTATCCCACTCCAGCTATCTCCCAGCCATCCCTCCCTCACGTCCTCCCATCGTTCTCCCCGCAATCGACCATCCTCATACCCAACCACATACCAAGCTCCATTCCCGGACCGGCAACCACGCCCCAGCTCAGGGCCCTCGCATTCCTCCCAACCCTCTGGCTGGCTCGGGCCGAACCTGCCTTCTCTAGCCTCGGAAGCATCCCAGCTGCTGTATCTGGTGGTTGAGGAGGAGGAAGAGGAGGATGCGGCTGGGGAGGGGGAGGGGGAGGAGGAGGTTGGGAAGGAGGAGGGGTTGGAACTGGAGCAGCAGGAGGAGATAGCGAGGAGAGTATTAGCAGCTAGAGTGGGGGGGTTGGGAGCGGGAGGAGTGCAGTGGAGGAGAGCGCAGAAGAGAGGGGGGGAGAGCAGGGCAGCAGGGAGGGGAGAAAGAGAGGAATTGGGGGCGAGAAAGGGATGTGCCAACAGGGCATGTGAGAGCAAGCAGTGGTGGTGGTAATAGTACCTTGGCATCTGAGGCGACAATGCCGTTGAGAGGAGTGGCAGATGCTGAGGATGAGAATGAGAAGAGACTCAGGCGCCAGTTTACTGCCTTGTCTTGGTGAGCCGAGCTCCTTGTTTTGTCACTAACAGTGCCGACAGAAAGGAGTTCTCTGCCTTGTTCTGCCTTCTCGTCCCCCCCCCTTTTTTCGTTTCCGGTGCCTGCAATGCAACCTTGCTAAACCCGAAACCCTGACTCCTTGTGTTGATTGTTTTTTTTTCCTGGTAATGTCTGTTGCGCCTGCGCCCTTCCTTCTGCACATCCTATTATCCGATGCTATGGAGGCATCTCTTTCTTCCATGTGGATTCCTTTCTGTTCCTCTTCTCACCTCTGCTGCCAATGCAACCCTTCATTCTCTATGGCCAAACGAGTTGATTTTTTTTATTTTTATTTTTTCTAAACACCACCTCTTCACGCCACTGCTGCCAGTGCACCCCTTTCATTCTCTATAGCCCGAACCAGCACATGCATCGTTTGCATCACATGCGTCCTCACTGTCTCTCACTCTCAAACCCCTATCAACCCCTCTCAACCCCTCTCCCCACCCCAGTCACCCACAGCGCAGGGAGAGTGCGTCAGGACGTTCCGCACCCCTGGTCTTATCTCCCCACCCAACCCCCCCCCGTTCTAACTTCTCTCCCCAACCCCTATCTTCCAACCACTATCCCCAACCTCTCTCCCCAACCCCTACCCCCCAACCCCTGTCCCCCAACCCCTATCCCCCAACCCCTGTCCCCAACCTCTCCCCCAACCCCTACTCCCCAATCCCTGTCCCCAACCCCTGTTCCCAACCCCTATCCCTTAACCCCTGGCCCCCGACCTCTCTCCCCCAACCCCTGTCCCCCAACCTCTCTCCCCAGGTCCTACACATCCCAACGAGTGTGTACCAGGTCATCCCTCTGTCAATGCTTTCCGCTTCTCTTGTATCCCCACGCACCCCTCTCCATCTCTCCCAACCCCTCTCTCCCCCAGGTCATCCACATCCCAGCGAGTGGGTGCCACCCTGGTTGTTTTCGGCCCGCCATCTGCACGGCATCGCTTGTCCTCTTCTGCCTCTCCTTCCAGTGCCTCCTCGCCTGGCCTATCCTCGCATCCCTCGTCCTCCTTCTCGTCTCCCCCCCTCTACAACCGCCCTCTGCTACACCCACCGCTGCTTCCTTCGCTACCTGCTCGTATGGCTTGTGGCTTCTTACTTCGTCAATATCACACCCGCACCAGACCTTCCCTTTGTAAGCCCTCTTGTTACTCGGCCTCTCCGTCACTCCGATGCTGCTTCCTGCTCTATCTGCTCATGTGGCTTCTTGCATCTTACCTCGCTAATATCACACCTGCTCCAGTCCAGACCTTCCCTTCGTAATTCTGCCCATCTCCTGCTCATTTCACACACTCACTCCTGCCCCTTGTACGATCACATCCTCATTTAATTTGCTGCCTCTCATCTATCTTCACAGCCTTGTATCCTCAGCACCCTACATAATCCCGCCCTACATAATCACACACTTATGGATGTTACTGCATCTACCTCCACCGTCAGTTTCCCCCCTCTGGCCTCCCATATATTCTCCTCCTTGATTTCGCCGTTTCATCTCTCTCCCCCTTTCCCTCGCCCCTCCAGCCCACCTTCTTGCAAGCCATTGGTCTGCTCCGCTTCCCCAATCCAACCCTTCCCCTCGCTCTCCACTTCACCATGGCACTCCTGTCAACGGCCTATGTCTTCGCTTGCACTGCCACCCTTGCCTCCTCCTCTCCCTCCTCCCCTTACTCTTCCTCCCCCGCACTTGTCACTTCCCCATGCTACTACTGTCGGTGGTCGAGTTGGTGCTGATGGGGATGCTGGTAGTGGTGCAGCTTACAGTGAGTCTGCTGGTGATGGTGGTAGCAGCAGCGAGGTTCGCAGTGGTCTTCTCGATGGTGTTGCTGGTGGTGGCAGTGGCAGTCAGACAACTGCTGGGCTAGCACAGGACAGTGGGGAGATGGTGTTTGGCATCCCAACACAGGGCAGTGGAGCTGAGACTATGGCAGTGCCGGCACAGGGCTGGCTCTGCTTCGTGGTGTCCTTCTCCCTCTGGGCCGCCCGCCTCTTCGCCTTCTCTGCTTTCATCCTCCTCGTGCTCGTCCACGTGGCTGACAAGCTGGCCCTCCTACGCGCCCCGTATGGTATGTAGCATGGGATATGGCATGTGGCATGCTGTATGGTATGTAGCATGCCACACGCACACCGTGCCTGCTCAGGGCTGCCTCTGCCTGCTCAGGGCTGCCTCTGCTTGCTCTTCGTCTTGTTTGCTTTTGTCCTGCTCGTGCTCGTCCATGCTGCTGATAAGCTGGCCCTCCTGAGCGCTCCTTACGGTACGTGTCAATGCACGTGTTGGTGGCAGACTTTTGAGGCGCCTCAGAAGTCGTCTCTTTACGGTATGTGTCAATGCACGTGTTGGTGGCAGACCGCCGCCTGTGGCAGAACGTGGTTGCCTTTTGCCTTTGAGTCGACTCAAGCGTCACCTTGTCAATGCCGGTGTTGGTGGTAGACTGCCTCTGCCAGGACGTGGTTGCCTTTAGCTTATGTCCGTGCTTTGTCCTCCTCTGCTTCTGCTACCGTTGCTGCTGCTGGTGGTTCTTCTACTGGTGGTTCTTCTGCTGGTTGACCCAACTCGTGTGCATTTCTGGTGGTTCTCTCCACACTATCTCCACACTATCTAGTGGAGAGATAGTGTGGAGAGGAAGTGGTGAGATAGTATGAGAGAGATAGTGTAGGAGAGTGGAGAGATAGTGGAGAGATAGTGTGTGAGATAGTATAGGAGAGATAGTGTGGGAGAGTGGAAAGATAGCGAAGAGATAGTGTGGGAGAATGGAGAGATAGTGTGGTGAAATAGTGTGGGAGAGATAGTGGAGAGATAGTGTGGGAGAGTGGAGAGATTGTGTGGGAGATTTGCGAGATAGTGTGGGAGATAGTGGAGAGATAGTGTGAGAGATAGTGTGTGAGATAGTGTAGGATAGTGTGAGAGTGAAGATAGTGTGGGAGAGTGGAGAGATAGTGTGGATAGTGTGATAGATAGTGTGATAGTGTGGGATAGTGATAGTGTGGGATAGTGTGAGATAATGGAAAGATAGTGGAGAGATAGTGTGAGAGATAGTGTGGGATCGTGGAGATAGTGGAGAGATAGTGTAGGATAGTGGAGATAGTGGAGAGATAGTGTGGGAGATTCGAGAGATAGTGTGTGAGATAGTGTGGAGAGATAGTGTTGAGAGAGTGGAGAGATAGTGGAGAGATAGTGAGGGATAGTGGAGAGATAGTGTGGGAGAGATAGTGTGGGTGAATGGAGAGATAGTATGGATAGTGTGAGATAGTGGAGAGACACCCTCACGCTGACTGAAGCCTCTAGCAACGTAGCGCGCTCTTGAACACCGGTGGCTCTCCAGGAGGGCGCTTCATATTGAAAAGCCACCGGCCATCAACTATGTTCACCCTAGGTGGGGGAACTGCATCGACGTAGGTGCCAGTGGATCTCAAAGATGCCATCTCTTGGACCGCTGGTGGGTTCTTGATCTAGGGGTGTTGGCGTGACATGAGACACACCAAACGGGGCAGGACGGGAAGGGATGGGAGCAGGCGCTACCGGGGGAGTGGGGACCAAGAACAGGGGCAGGGAAACCGAAAGACCTCGGTGGGGAAAGCAAGTGTAGAAGGAGACAGACTCGTCAAAAGTGACATCGCGAGAGTGAAAGAAACTGTGAGACGGCGGGTGGTAAAAGTGCCAGTCAGACCCGTCGAGGGGGAAGCCAAGGAAGACACAAGGGACAGTTTGGGAGGTAAGCTTGTCCGTGCCAGAGGCACGAACGTGAGCGAGGCAGCCCTAGACGTGGGACGTTGATGCGTCACCAGGGGACCCGGTCCAGAGAAGGGTCGGCGAAACCTGCGGCCGCTAGAAGTGCGGCCACAGGCTAAGCTGGTGAGCCGCATAGCAAACAACGAACGACCACAGAAAAATGGTGTGCACCGGCACCTGGTGGTCTCTTCATTAGTCCACCTGATCGTCTGCTGCTCGTTGTGCATCTAACGTATCACCCTGACCATCTTCTCTCCCCCTATTCTCTTCCCAGTGCTGCTGCTCGTGCTGCTGCTGGTCTGCCCCTCGCGATCGCAGGCTGTGTATTCAGCCTGCACTTGCAACTGCCCCTCGCTGCACCTGCTGCTGCTTGAGTAGGGCAAACGAAGGAAGAGCTTGACATGTACATACCTCCACTCCACACCCCCCCTCGCCCTCCCCCCGCCCCCCCCAATTCTTCCGGGTGTCCCTTTGCGTCGCAGTCCTGCTGCTCGTGCTGCTGCTGGTCTACCCCTCGCGAGCGCAGGCCGTGTATTCAGCCTGCATCGCCTACTCCTCCCTGCACCTGCTGCTGCTTTTTGCTGCCACGGATCCTGTCTTTACTCACCTCCCACTCCCGCCCTACTGGAAGATCCTTCTATCGCTCCTAGGTGAGTCCTCTTATCACTCTCTTCTCACCTCCGTATCCGCCTTCCCCTGCACCTGCTACTGCTCCGTATCCTGCCGTTCCTCAACTCCCTCTCCCGCCCTTCTGGAAGGCACTGCTATCGCGCCTGGGTGAGTCTTCACATCTCTCTCTCCTCGACTTCCACATCCTCCCTGCACCTGCTGCTGCTTTTTGCTGCCACGGATCCTGCCGTTGCTCACCTCCCTCTCCCGCCCTTATGGACGGCCCTGATTTTACTCTCCTAGGTGAGTTCTCTCCTTGGTGACTTCTCTCATACATCGCTCCTCAGTTTCAGACTGCATCGCGTATTCCTCCCTGTTCCTGCTGCTGCTCTTTGCTTCCGCGGACCCTGCCCTCATTCACGACCCTCTCCTGCCCTACTGGAAAGGCATGCTCTCACATTTGGGAAAGTCTTTTACTCTATATCTTCTCGCCTTCCAAAACCTGCTGTTAGCCCAACACCTTTTCTTGAGCAATCTTCTGCAGTGCAGATTACTCTCTGTAAATAGTGGGGAACTCAACGAACCAGTCTCAAGCCATCAATACCCTCTTCCACCCCTCCCCTTCGTCTCCCCATGGCATAACCCGCATCCAGCACAAGCCATCACCCCTCCAGCATGCATCCTCCTGCTCGCCTATGCCATGGCCCGAGCCCATTCCTCCCTGCAGCAGTCCCTGGTTGCCACGCGTTCTCTCCCCCTCAAGCCGTTTCTGGTGGCTATTTCTGGAGCTGGCTAGACGATTCTTGCACCAACACAGGAATCACCTGTCTGTACCCCCTCTCTCTGTTTCAACCCCTCCTTCCTCTCACCCGATCCCTTGTTCCCCCCCCAACCACAGGCATTCCCCCCACCCTCTCGCCAAAGGCCATCACCCCGCCAGCATGCATCCTCCTGCTCGCCTATGCCATGGCCCGCGCCCGTTCCGCCCTGCAGCAGTCCCTTGCTGCCACGTGCTCCCTCCCCCACAAGCCGTTTCTCTGGCGCCTGCTGGAGCTAGCCGCCTGCTGCCCCCCTCCCATGGCGGCTGCTCTCCAGTTAAAGCCGCACCCTGACAGCCTGCTTCTGCCTCCCTGCAAAGGACCTCCCTGTGAGTGCAACAACAATCTGAGTCAGGGCGCGAGATGTGTTATAGCTAGCTGCCTGCCTGCTGCCCTCCCATGGTGGCTGCTCTTCAGCTAAAGCCGCACCCTGACAGCCTGCTTCTGCCTCCCTGCAAAAGACCTCCCTGTGAGTGCAACAACAATCTGAGTCAGGGTGTGATATGCGTTATAGCTAGCTGCCTGCTGCCCACCTCCCATGGCAGCTGCCCTTGAGTTGAGACCACTCCTACAGGGCTGTATCCCTGTCTGGTGTATGCCCCAGCCTTAGCAACGGAGGTCAACACCTATGTCATCCTCACCGCATTCTTCACCATCCTCACCTAATCTCACCCCTCTGCCATCTCTGTATCCCTCCCTCCCTGTCACACTCTCCCAGGGCCGTATCTCTGCTTGGCATATCCCTCGGCCTTAGCAACGGAGGCCAACACCTATCTCATCCTCGCTGCATTCTTCACCATCCTTACCTGCACTCGCCCCTCTGCCGTCTCTCTCGGCTTCCTCCTCCTCCTCATTACCTGGCTCTGGCTCTTCCTCTGGCCCTCCTCCTCCCGAACCTCCTCCCATGCTCAAGACGCCTCTGAGTGGCAGTCATCTTCCCGCGCCTCTGCCTTCCAAACCTCCACCTTCCGAGCCTCAGCGCCAGCTTTTCGAGCCTACATGGCACCATTGACAGCCTCGTTGGCAGCTACAGTGCTCCTGCTTCGGTACTGCAGCCTGTACCCCGAGTTACGGTCCCTCTTAGCCGCCCACTTTGGGATCGATTTGTCTGTTCTGGAGCGGCTTGGGCTGTTTGCCCGGCTGGGCACGCCTGTACACGTGGCAACTGCTGATTGCGCCACGTTGTTGATCTGCCTTCGCGCGTACTTCTGCTTTGAGGCGTTTCCACATGTGCAGCAATGGGTGGAACAGCAGCAGCAGTATCAACAGCAGGAGCATAATTCTCAGTTACACCCAACCAGTCAGCAGGGGGTGCAGGTTTCAGGTGCAGGGGCAGCAGCACCTTCCACAGTCACCCCCCTCTCTGCCCCCCCCACACGTAAACTCCATCTTAGTGCCAAGGGCTCAAAATCCTTCCATTTCCCTCCCCCTGCTGCTGGTTCTGCAGCTGGCGCTGCTGGTGCGATTGATGCTGCTATTGCAGCAGCAGCAGCAGCTCCGGCACCCGAAGCAGATACTGAAACTGGAGGAACAGCAGCAGCAGCAGGGGTAACCACCACTCCACCCCCAGTCATCTCCTGGTCCCGTGATGAATACCCCCTTACAGGCTTCTTCGGTTGGGTGGGCTTCTTCAAACGCCTGCTCATCCTACACTGCCCTACCAGCCTCCCTTGCGCGGCCTTTTTCGCTGCCCTGTATCCGGTCAGCGCCATGGGGTTTGGCTTCCTGCTGCTGGCAGTGCTGGGGTGCCTGAGGCTGAAGGCTATGAGGGGGACGCCTAGGGCGCTGTTCTTGTATGGAGGGGTGGCGCTGGTGATGGAGTTTGGGTTCCAGGTGGTGGTGACGCAGTGGGGCTTGGAGGCTTGGGTGGAGCAACACAGTGCGATTCTCCAGGTGAGTTGTGATTGTGGGGTTCAGGTTTTAAGGCTCAGAGGGTTTAAGGTTGAGCGTTTTGGTTTGGATTTTGGCTTTCAGACGGTGGTAATGTAGTAAGGATTGACACCATGGGTGGAACAACAAAGTGAGACTCTTCAGGTGAGTGGCCGAGAAGGGGGGGTTCAGGGTATAGGGCCCAGGGTTTAGGTTAAGGGGTTTGGAGCTTGGCTTTCAGGCGGCGGTTATGTAGTGAGGATTGACGCCATGGGTGGATCAACAAAGCGCGACTCTTCTGGTGAGTGGCCGAGATTGTGGGAGTTCATGGTTTGGGACTCAGGGTTTAGGTAAAGGGGTTTGGAGCTTGGCATCCAGGTGGCAGCTACACAGTGAGGGTTGGCAGCATGGGTGGAACAACAAAGTGCGACTCTTCTGGTGAGGGACAGTGATCTTTGGTTGAGGCTTTTGGGTTGAGGGTTTAGCGAGATCAGGGTTCCGGGTCAAGGTTAAGGGAGATCAGGGTTCCGGATTCCAGGGTGAGAGCTTCAGGCTCTGCATTTAGGGTTTGGGATTCTGAGTGTAGGGTTTAGAGTTCTGTCTTGAACCTTCTGTCTTATTCCTCCCACCGCCATGTCTCTGCTCCTCTTTCTCAGTGGCTATGCCTTGGCTTATAAGGAGACGGCACCATGGGCACTGCGATACGGGTTTGGGGTTCTGAGTGTAGGCTTTAGAGTTCTGACTTGACCCTCTCTGTCCTGTCCCTCCCTCCCGCATGTCTCTGCTCCTCTTTTTCAGTGGTTAGGACTGGTTTATATAGAGACGGCACCATGGCCACTGTGTTTAGGGTTTGGGTTCGAAGTGTAGGCTTTAGAGTTCTGTCTTGAACCATTCTGTCCTATCCCTCCCACTTCCATGTCTCTGCTCCTCTTTCTCAGTGGCTAGGCCTAGGCTTATATGGAGACGGCACCATGGGCACTTCAGCAGCGGGCCCTATGTGGGCTTTAACGTCTGGATGCACGGCCAAAGCAGTGCTCCTAGCAGCCTGTCTTCTCCACCATGCCTCCTGCCACTGGCTCACCGAACTTCCCTTGGAGCTTCAGACCGATCCTAAGGGCGAGGTTTGCGTGCTGTTTGTGCCTCCTGAAGCTGTGGCTGCGGCTCGGAACGCTGCTTCGGTGCAGATACAGGAGATGGTGCAGAGAGGGGGAGAGGAGGGACGAAGAGAGAGAGGAGCGGGTGGAGTGGGTGGAGTGGGTGGTGTAGGCGGGGCAGGAGGAATAGGGGAAGGAGGAGGAGGGGGGCCAGGGAACGGTAAGGTTGCAGAAGAAGTGGCTAAGACAGAACCTCAAGAGTCGGTGTTGAAATTGGATGAGGTTGCTTCGATTGGCAGGGAGGGCGGAGGAGGCGACGGGGGAAATGAGAAGATGGGGAGGGGCATAAGTGGGGGAGGAGGAGCAGGGGGGACTAGAAGAGCCCACAAGCTGATAAGCTTTCGGTCGTGGAGTGTGGGCGATCTGCGGTCTGCTGATGCGTCCTCCTCAGCCTCCTCCTCCTCTTTCCTTCTTGGAGGGTCGGGGAGGCGAGAGGGGAAGGTGACTGGTGGTGGTAAACCATTGGAACGGCATGACGAGGACCAGGAGAAGGAGGAGGAAACAGTGCAAACCGACAGGGACTCTCATGTGAATGCGAGCTATGAGGGTGATTCAGTGTTTGGTGATGATTACTATGACGGGTATGATGACGAGGAGGAGGACGACGACGAGGAGGACGAGGAGGACCAATCAGAGGAGGCGCAGCGGTATCGGCAGCAGCTGCGGTCGATGTGGTCGTGGGTGCAGAACACAGTGGCCCACTTCTTCTCCCTCTATGGCGTTCAGGTGAGTGATTTGGGAGGGCGTGTGGCAATGTACAGAGGAATACAGGAGGATCGTTGTGGGGCGGTGCCTGCGGTCGATGTGGTCGTGGGTGCAGAACACAGTGGCCCACTTCTTCTCACTCTACGGCGTCCAAGTGGGTGTCGTCGGCCTCTGTCTGCCCTTTCACTCTCAACTCACAGATCGCCCGCCCTACACTCCTTTCTTCGCACTTTGCGGGGCCTCTCCCGCTCTTCTTTCAGGTGGTCGTTCTCTGTCTTCTATTCGCTGGTTTCGCCGTGAAGAACATCGTCTCTCTCCTCTACACTCTAGTCGTCGGCCTCTGCATCGCCCTCCCTCCGTGCCTCAATGCATGATACTGCCCGCCATCCCAACCCATCCCAACCCATTTCATCCCCTTTCATCCCCCCTCCCATTCCCATCAGGTGGTCGTTCTGTGCCTTCTAGTCGCCAGTTTCGCCGTGAAGAACATCGTCTCTCTCCTCTACACTCTAGTCGTCGGCCTCTGCATCGCCCTCCCTTCACGCTTCGTCCGCCTGCTCTGGCCCCTCCTAGTAGCTACCTTCGCTGCAATCACCCTCTGGCAATACTACATGCTCGCCGGCCCCCCTCCCTTGGACAACCCTGCACCCCCTCCCCCCAACAATCCCGCACCTCCCCTCCGAAATTCTCAAGGATTCAACCGCTTCGTGTATACCAGTCACTACGCACCAAAGTCTCCACCACACCAGCCGTTAGAGGAGTTTCCACCTCTGCTGCATCCCCAGCACCCCCACCAGCCATCCAAGCACCCCTTCTTCCAACGCGACAATTCAGAGGGGCCCTATGAGGCCGTTGCCTCAGCGACCCAACTCATTAGAGGCCCTTCAAGGGAATTACATTCCCCTCTAGGCACCAAACGCTCTCTCCTTGGCGTTGACTCGGACTCACCACTACAAGAATATCCATCCGGGCCCGGGGCCGGGCATCTACTAGAGTATCCCCGTAGCAGTCGCCCAGAATCTCTCAATCTCAACCCACTGCGAGCCTATCTCCTAGGGTATCCCCATAACAGCCTCAGTCGCGAATCTCCTGGTTTGTCGCTTTACAAGACGAGCGGATTGTCCCACAGTTTGTTCAGGGGATCTCGCCGCCCCCACCCGCCCAAGTCCCACAGCCGCAACTGCCAGGACTGCTGGCTCAGCACGGATTCCCGTGACTCCACGTGCTGGGACTGCTGGCTGGGTGAGTTGACTGCTGGCTAAGTGAGTTGACTGCTGGCTGGGTGAGTTGACTGCTGGCTAAGTGAGTTGACTGCTGGCTGGGTGAGTTGACTGCTGGCTGGGTGAGTTGACTGCTGGCTACCAGCCACGACACGCCTCTTCCAGCATTGACTGACAATGTCTCTTGCTCTCCATCCCTCCTCTATCATCCCCTGTGTTTCCCCTCTCGCCTTTCCAGGTGGCATCGTGGACGACCGCCGCATCCTCTGTGCCTACTTTGTGGTCTTCCTCCTCTCCTGCTTCCTCCTCTCTCCTTCCTCCTCCTCCGCCCCCTCCTCCTCTTCCTCCTCCCAAATAAACCCGTCCTTCCCACATGATACAGCACCGCACCTCACCCGCTGGACCTCCCTCCCCCCGCCATCCCTCCCGCCTCTCGAAACCCCCCGCCCCCATCCCCTCCCCAACGCCCGCCCTCCCTTCCCCCCTCCTCCTTTCCTCTCCTCCTCCTCCTCCTACCTCCCCGCAGACCCGCCCTCCTCCCCTTGGCACGACCTGTCAGAAGGCCCCCACCCCAGTTGGACCTGGCTGGACCACTGGCGCTTCCTCTACTACAAGTACCTCCTATGGATTGTCCTGATACTAGTCTTTGCGACCGGGACTCTACAGTACGACCTGCTACACTGCGGCTATCTCGCCTTATCCCTCTTAAGTACACGAAAGCACGCCGCGATTCTCCGCGGGCAAACCACAGTGCTCACCTACCTCCGCGTTTATAACTTTCTGCTGATCACCGCGTCCCTAGTCTACCAGTGCCCGTATTTCCCGTATCTCCCAGCACTGTCGTGTAACCCGTTCAGCATAGTGGGGCTGTATAAGTACGACTACGGGCTCCGGATGGACACGCGCAGTGCGGTGGTGGACCTAACCATGTTCGTGCTCATCACAGTTCTGGCGTACAGCCTGAGATCCGAGATCTTCCAACAAGTTCTCATGTTTACTACGAAGCAGGAGGTAAGACAATTGCAACCCGTTCAGGATAGTGCGGCTGTGTAAGCACGACTATGGGCTCCGGGTAATGGATGGACATGCGGAGTGCGGTGGTGGACCTGACCATGTTCGTGCTTATCACCGTGCTGGCATGCAGCCTGACGTCCGAGATCTTCCAGCAAGTGTTGCTCTTTACCACGAAGCAGGAGGTGCGACAACGGACAAAGGGATATGGAAGGGGGGGTAAGGGGGAAGGATGGACATGCGGAGTCCATCTCTGTTTGTGATGGGCATGCGGAGTCCATCTCTGTTTGTGATGGGCATGCGGAGTCCATCTCTGTTTGTGATGTGCATGCGGGGGTAAGGAGGAAAGGTGGCTGATCTGATTGTGTTTCACAGCCTCATCACTGCGTTGGTTTGGCTCACAGCCTGAAATCACGAATCGCGACGTGAGACGGCAAGTGCTCATTTTGACCGCGAAGCAGGAGGTGAGGCGGCAGAAAAGGGGGAGGGGGGGCACCTGAGGGAGGTGCAGCGGATGAAAGACAGCATGCGGCGCCTGCAGAGACACCTGGACTGGATGGACCCCTTGCACTCCAATTCACCTCAGAAGAGCATGACTGAAACCAGATCATCTGCTGCCGCCCCCCCGCTCCCTTCCCCTTCCTGCTCCCCCTGCCCCACTCCCTTCCAAACCTACAGGAGAGAGACAGGCAGCGAGCGGCCGAGATGTTAGCAGCGTGGCAGCGGGAGCACCTGAAGCACCTGCAGCAGGCGGAGGAGCGGCGCAGGCAGCGCAGCGAGGAGGTGCAGCGCATGAAAGACGGCATGCGCCGCCTGCAGCGACACCTCGACCTCCTCAACTCTGGCAGTCCAGGGGGGAGGCGAGGGGGTGGAGAGGGGTTGGCGAGTCCAGGGGTGTTTAGACAGGCGCAGCAGCACCAGCAGCAGCTGCTGCAGCTGATGCTGGCAGGAGGGAGAGTGAGGGGAGGAGGGGCAGTGGGAGGAGAGGGAGGTGGAGGAGGAGGAGGAGGTGGAGGTGGAGGGGGGTGGGTAGGAGCTGGGGGGAGAGGGGAGGTGGAGGGGGCTGGATGGCTGGTAGATCGGGCTTTAGCTCCCCTTCCACCTGCACCATCTGCTGCTGCAGCTGCTGCTACGACTTTTGCTGCTGCTGCTGCTGCTGCCCATAATACAGACCATCTTCCTCAGTCAGACACAGCAGGTCAACTCCCCCCCACCTCCCTCCTCCCTCCCCCGGCACTCCCCCCCCCCCAACCCACACACTCAAGCACTTTCTCCACTCCTTCCTCCTCCCCACACCCTCATACCCAACCCCTCCCCTCCTACGCCTCCTCCTCCCACTCTCTCCCTCCTTCCTCCTCCCCCTTTTTCCCTCCCCCGCTCTACCCCCCTTCCACCACTGCCTCCCCAGCTGTACCTCCCCCGGCTGGCCTTCCCCCATGTTTCCAGGGTTTTCTGACTCTTCCCCCATGCTCCCCTCTGCGTCTACTGGTCCCTCGTTCAATACGGTTATGGGAAGAGCTCGGGCTGCGGCTTTGAGGGCACAGGCCAGCCGGGCAGGGGAGGTATGGAGGGGAGGAGTGGAAGGAGGAGTTGAGGGGGCATCAGCAGCTCATTCACTTTCCTCAACCCATACTGCATTGGAACCACCGACAACATCAGTACCACCGTTAGCAATAGCAATACCATCAGCATCAGCAGCAGCAGCAACCGCAGCAGCAGGACCAGTGAGGGAATTGCGTTCTCGTGCGTCTTCCCTCTCCTCCCCTCCCTCTTCTTCTCCTAGCACCACCGCCACCCACCCTCCCAGCACTGCCAGCACCAGTGCTGCTAACAGCCTATGGAAGCGGGCGGCAGGGGGCCTTGTCGGGCGGCGAAGTGGGCGGCTGATTCCGACTGGTATGCAGCAGATGATTGGCCAGGGGGTGGCTCAGATGCAATCGATGGTCATAGCTGGGTTAGAGGATATACTAGATATGGATTTGGACGGAGGAGGGGAGATTGGTGATGCAGGGTTGAGTGCGGTGGGAAGCAGTGGGGGTGGTGGGCCGAGTAGGCTGGATTTGAGTGCGGTGGAGAGCGGTGGGGCGAACGTGGCGGGTGTAGGGAGTGGTGGGATCAGCAGTGCTGATGGTCTTGGTGCCTTGGGAGGGGGTGGTGTGGGTATGGAAGAAGGGAGTGTGAGTGCGAGGACAGGCAGGCAACGCAGCAGTAGCTGTCAGTGGCCCGAGGGGTCTCACCTCATGGTGGGTGATTCTCAGAGGCTAGAGGGATCTCATAGGCTAGAGGGGTCTCAGAGGATAGAGGGATCTCAGAGCTACAGGCAGACTAGGTTGAGCAGAGGATCAGGCAGCGATGCTGCTGCTGCTGCTGGGTTAAGCATAGACACGATAGAGGAAGCCAAGGAGGAAGGCAGATTGGACGTGGACCAGTCAGGCTCTGAGATGACGTGGACAGATCCCAGATCCGAGTATGGCAGCCCGGCACGCCACGTCAGCGATGAGGTGGATGTGTCAGCAGTCGCCGATGCTTTGCCAGCTGTACAGGAAGTAGCGTTTAGCCAATCAGGTGCTGGCTGTGTTCGGAGAGACGGCATGGTGGAGGAGGGAGGAGCAGTTGGGGTTGGGGAGATTGAGGAGGAGAGGGACGGAGGTATGACTGGCGATGGGGTTGGGGGTCAGGGAGTGGCATTTGGTGGAGGAACTAGCTGGGGAGGGGGCAGAGAGGGTCGAGGGGAGGAGGGCTTGAGTGCGTCTGAGGCTGCTGCTGCTGCCATAGCAGCGGGAGGAGGGCTGCAAGGAGCAGCAGCCGCGGCTGCAGCTGCTGTTTTAAGTAGGCATGGGCAGAGGGGAACAGCAGGAGAGGGAGACTGGTCCGGCGGAAAAGAGGGGGGAAGAAGAGCAGGAGGACGGAGACTGGGCGAAGGAATGGGAGAAGGGATGAGAAAAGGGATGAGAGAAGCAACAGGTGGAACACATGCAGAAGGCCCTGCCATTGGTAACACCGTAACCAACGCCACCACCACCACCTCCACCCCCTTCCCCTCCGCCTCCTCCCCCCCCTCCCCATCCCGCCGTGCCTTCTCCCGCCTGCGCTGGCTGCTCCAGTCAAACAGCGACGTGGTAACCGGCGTCTTCATGGTTACCGCCTTCTGCTGGAACCTCTCTCTCTCCACGCTCGTCTTCCCCCTCGCCCTCTTCCTGTACGCCCTCGTCTCCAACCCCTCCCCCGGGCCGAGATTCTGGCGGGCTATGCTCGTGTACTCCGAGATTCTGATTGCCTTGGAGTATCTGTATCAGATCCCGACGCATGACAGCTGTGCCAGCTGGATTGAGGGGAATGGGGCGGGGGGGAGTGGGGGAAAGGGAGGGGGAGGGGGAGGTCGGGGGCCGGCAACAGGGGGAGGTGCTGTCCCCCCTAGTGGAAGAGGAGGAGGGAGCGGGGGAGGGAAAGGAGGGGCGGGGGGGCTTCCTTCAGGGTGGTTTCCAGGGTGGATTGGTGCTGGTGGTGGTGCAGAGGGGATGGACCGCCTACTTGCATTTATAGGCATCCGACCGTACCCTAGCTGGTTTGTGTGGAACGTGCTTCCTCTCTTTGCTGTCTACCTAGCCCTGCTGGTCCAAACCTCCATCCGCTACAGGAACAGCCAGTCCAAGGACTCGAGGGACTCTAAGAAACTTGCTGAACCTGAGGAGGAGGTCAGGTTCGGAAGCTTCCAAGCCTCGGGTGGTGGTTCAGGCCAAGCCGGATGTGAGGGGGGTGGAAGAGACAGGGGAGAGGGCAGGGGTAGGGAGGCGAGGGGGCCTGTGCTGAGGAAGGTGGTTTCTGGGGCGGGTTGAAGGGAACTGCGAGGGTGCTTGGTAGACTGGTAGGGGCCAGCCAAGCTGTTCATGTTCATGCTTATGTGGACGATGCTGCTGACATGGATGATGCTGACGTGGAGGCGTCTTCTCCTCTGCTTAGTGGCAATCGTGCGTCCACCTTCCCTCAGACAGCTGGCAATCGCAGCAGCAGCAGCAGTTTTCTACAGAGCAGGTGGAGGAGCAGTAGCAGCAGGAGGAGGGGTGGAGCAGCCCAACAATACAGCAGCAGCAGGAGCGGCAGCGGCAGCGGCAGCAGGAGCGGCGTTGCTGATTCACCTCCACCCCAGCCGCTGTCCTTTTTTAAGCGCTTATGGATTCGGGGGTCATGTAGATTCACTGCAGCTTGGAGGGGATTAATTAGGTTCTTAAGAGCTGCTATGGAGGGGTCGGAAGCGCCGCCCTACTTTGTCCAGGTGGTTCTGTACAACGCGGATGGGTGGACGGCCAATCAGATGATGCCAGGTGTCATTGAGAGAGCGTTCAACTACTTGTTGGTGGCTGCGGATGATGTCGCAGTGCCTGCTGACGTGGCTGTGCCTGCTGATGTGGCAGGTGCCGGACCTGCACAGGGAGGAAGAGTAGGAGGGGTCAACACGGCGACCCGCTTGTTTGGGAATTCCAGAAAGCATGTGCATTTTGAGCCGGAAGGAGCAGCGGTGATGCATGCAGAGAGGTATTCCAGGCAAGGTGTTGAGCAGCAGCAGCAGCAGTTTCAACATGAGACTCAGCATCGGGCTCAGAAGCAACAGCTAGAGCAGCAGGCGCTTGCTTTGCTTCCGTGCGAGTACCAGCAGTTAGTGCGGGTGCACAGTGTAGACGCTGTAGAGTGTGCCAACACCCTTACTGCTTCCGGTGCTGCCCATAGCGTGGCCAGCCCTTCAGCTGCCCATAACAGAGCCGCCACTGGAGCCACAGCCACGCTTGAAACCCCAGCAGCAAGTGCAGCAGATACAGCCACAGCCACAGCAGCAGCAGCAGCAATTCCGCAGGGGGCTGCACATCCTGCTGCTGCCTTTTCTCCAACCGCTGCTGCTGCCGATGAAAGCACTCACTATTCCTCGCTCCCTCACTTTCATCCTCACTCACAGCTCCCTGTTACAGACACTCTGGTAGTGGTGCTTGAGGTGGTAACCAACACCACTGCCGCTGCCTCTGCCTCCCCTCCTACCTCCTCTGATACCCCCTCCGACTCCCCAGCTTCTCAATGCACCCCCTCTCAGCCACACACGTGGCATGACACCTGGCAGTCGCTCACACCATCTGCTGACGTGGCAAAGAGGCTCGGGAGGTTCCTGAGCGGTGGGGGGAGGCCCGGGAGTGGGGGAGGGGGAGGGGTAGCAGGAGGAGAGGAGGGCAGGGGGGGGGTGTTGAGAGGAGTGGGTGGTGTGGCTGGGGGGGGGATGGGGTAAGGGATGGGGGTGGGCTTGGGGGCGTGGCAGGCAGCAGTAATAGAAGGAGTGAAGGTGCTAATGCCATCTTGGGAAAGGCGTTTGGGTCTCGCTATGTGGAGCTCGCCTCAATTGTTGCAGGTACAGTGTGCTCCTGTCTTGCTCACCTTCCCACTAATTTGCTGCCTTTCCCATCATGTCGCCCCACCATGTCTCCTTAGAAAAGCAATCTCCATTTTTTTGCATTTTCTTCTCCCCAGGCGGTCGGGAGGAGCGGGACCTGTACATCTACATCTTCTGCAACGACATCCTCACTTTTTTCTACATGGGGCTCTCCATATATCTTTCTCTCGCGGGTCCTCTGCACATGCTATATGCAACCTCCTCTGTACATTCTCAACCTAACAGGTGGTCGCAGGGAGCTGGACCTCTACCCCTACGTCTTCTGCATCGACATCCTCGCCTTCTTCTACGTGGGGCTCTTCTACCAGTCTGCAGTGCGCGACAGGTCGCCCTTTGAGGAGGTCATTCACACAGGCGACCAGTTCCCCTACACCTATGTGGCCGTGCTCATGGTACGTTTGAGGAGGGTACTAGTACTGCCCCCTTTCCCCTGCACTATTGTCCTATGTGGGCCGGTGCGTATGGTAAGGTTTGCTATGTGTTGGAATGTGTGGCACTCTGGACTGGAGTCTGCAGTGCACGACAGGTCGCCCTTTGAGGAGGTCGTCCACACGGGCGACCAGTTCCCCTACACCTACGTGGCCGTGCTCATGGCATGTGTTGAGATGTATAGCCCCTCCATGTGGCCGGGCTCATGGTATGTGTTGAGATGTATAGCCCCTCCATGTGGCCGTGCTCATGGTATGTGTTGAGATGTATAGCCCCTCCATGTGGCCGTGCTCATGGTATGTGTTGAGATGTATAGCCCCTCCATGTGGCCGGGCTCATGGCATGTGTTGAGATGTATAGCCCCTCCATGTGGCCGTGCTCGTGGTATGTGTTGAGATGTATAGCCCCTCCATGTGGCCGTGCTCGTGGTATGTGTTGAGATGTATAGCCCCTCCATGTGGCCGTGCTCATGGTATGTGTTGAGATGTATAGCCCCTCCATGTGGCCGTGCTCATGGTATGTGTTGAGATGTATAGCCCCTCCATGTGGCCGTGCTCATGGTATGTGTTGAGATGTATAGCCCCTCCATGTGGCCGGGCTCATGGCATGTGTTGAGATGTATAGCCCCTCCATGTGGCCGTGCTCGTGGTATGTGTTGAGATGTATAGCCCCTCCATGTGGCCGTGCTCGTGGTATGTGTTGAGATGTATAGCCCCTCCATGTGGCCGTGCTCATGGTATGTGTTGAGATGTATAGCCCCTCCATGTGGCCGGGCTCATGGTATGTGTTGAGATGTATAGCCCCTCCATGTGGCCGGGCTCATGGTAAGGCGCGGAGAGATCCCCCATACCTGTGCTCAAGAGAAAGGTCATGGTACGTTCCCCCATACCTGTGCTCAAGAGAACGGTCATGGTACGTTCCCCCATACCTGTGCTCAAGAGAACGGTCATGGTACGTTCCCCCATACCTGTGCTCAAGAGAACGGTCTAAGGGATGGCAGGATAGCATCGCCTGCCCCTTCTAGTCCCTTGTACTTGATGGTCTTGTTTGAACACCATCACAACCAAGCAACAATTCCAAGACCGCCCCAAAATCTTCCTCACGAGAGCGCCACGCTTAACCCCGATCCTCAGTCTTCCAACACCTCAATTCCTCCTCATATCCACCTGGTATTTTTGAGAATCCTCAAAAATACCCTGCAACCTCATTTTCCTCCTCAATATCCTCCTGGCCCGATCATCGAGCTCGTCTTTCAAGGTCAATGGATGTCTAGTTTTGAGGCGCCTCAAAAGTACGTCAACTAAGTCCATCCCTCCTCAACCCCCAATCCCCATTATAGACAGACCCAGTTCTTCCTGATAGTGATAAACCGCATTCTCTACCTGGTGTCCAGCGGCCCCCTGCGCATGCTCTACCACTTGTGCAGCCTTTCATTACCCCCCTTCCCCTCCCCCCCACACCTAATCCCCGTTATAAACAGACCCAGTTTTTCCTGATAGTGATCAACCGGATTCTCTACCTGGTGTTCAGCGGCCCCCTGCGCGTGCTCTACCACCTGGCCTCCCTCCTCCTACACCTCGGCTACCCCATGCTGCTCTTCTGGAACGCCAACCTCATCGCCTCGCACAACACCATCCGGGCCTACCTGGCGATCAAATCCATCTCCCTCGCGCTCTCAGCGCTCCAGCTGAAGTACGGGCCGCCTGGGCCGGCGTCGAAGGCCTCGCCGTTCCTGACCCGGAGGGCGACGTGGCTGCGGTGGCAGCTGTTTAGAGTGTATCGCATGCTGCCGTTCTTGTACGAGCTGCACTTGATTCTGGACTGGTGGTGCACCAAGACATCCCTGCCTCTATACGATTGGCTCAAGGTATGCTGCTAGCCTCACTGTTTTGTCACTGACAGCGTTTCGGGCTGGGGTGAGAAAGACCAATCTGCGGTGGCAGCTGTTTAGAGTGTATCGCATGCTGCTGTTTCTGCACGAGCTGCATGTGATTCTGGACTGGTGGTGCACCAAGACATCCCTGCCTCTGTATGACTGGCTCAAGGTATGCTGCTTGAGTCAGGGTTGGTGATAGGGTTGGTGTTACAGCTAGCTAAGATGTGGCTGCAGTGGCAGCTGTTTAGAGTGTATCGCATGCTGCCGTTTCCGTACGAGCTTCATGTGATTCTGGACCGGTGGTGCACCAAGACATCGTTACCACTGTATGATTGGCTCAAGGTACGCTGATATGTTCAAGGTACGCTGATATGTTCAAGGTACGCTGATATGTTCAAGGTATGCTGATATGTTCGAGGTACGCTGATATGTTCAAGGTACGCTGATATGTTCAAGGTACGCTGATATGTTCAAGGTACGCTGATATGTTCAAGGTACGCTGATATGTTCAAGGTACGCTGATATGTTCAAGGTACGCTGATATGTTCAAGGTACGCTGATATGTTCAAGGTACGCTGATATGTTCAAGGTACGCTGATATGTTCAAGGTACGCTGATATGTTCAAGGTATGCGGCTGTGACGCCAGCCTGTACCTCGTCACATGGGACAGCAAGATAGCCTGTGCAGCACTCAGAGTGCTCACCCTTCCACCATCCTCCCTCTCTCATGCCTCTGAATGCCGTTTGCCCAACCCTGTCAGCTCGAGGACATATACGCTGGCCTGTACCTCGTGACGTGTGGCAGGAAGATAGCGCGAGCAGGGCACCGGCCGAGCCGCCGAGGCATAGTACACCTGCTCCCCTCTCCCTATCCTTCCCCCTCCAACCAGTTGGAGGACATCTACGCCAGCCTGTGCCTCGTGACGTGTGGCAGGAAGATAGCGCGAGCAGGGCACCGGCCGAGTCGCCGGGGCATAATACACCTGCTCTCCTCTCCCTATCCTCCCCCCTCCAACCAGATGGAGGAAATATACGCCAGCCTGTACCTCGTTACCTGTGACAGGAAGATGGCGCGAGCAGGGCACCGGCCGGGACACACATTCCAGCCCTCCCCCTACCTGCATCTCCTCTGCCCCTCCCAACCCTGTCAGCTGGAGGACATCTACGCCAGCCTGTACCTCGTGACGTGTGGCAGGAAGATAGCGCGAGCAGGGCACCGGCCGAGCCACCGAGGCATAATACACCTGCTCTCCTCTCCCTATCCTCCCCCCTCCAACCAGATGGAGGACATATACGCCAGCCTGTACCTCGTGACGTGTGACAGGAAGATAGCGCGAGCAGGGCACCGGCCGGGGCAGCCGCAGGGGTGGGTGGTGAAGCTGATGGGGGGAGCCTTCTTCTTCCTCGCTATAGTCACAGCCATCTGGGCGCCCATGCTGGTGAGTTCTGGTACGGTCTGGTCACTTAGCAATTTGATAATAGGTGTCACAGTCACAGTCAGAGTCAGAGTCACAGTCACAGTTACAGTCACAGTTTATGTTGCTTCTTCCGCGTCTTCCTCCCTCATCCTTCCCTCCCCCCCTCCGCATCCTCACCCCTCAGACCTGCTCCGGCTCCTTCCCCATCTTTGAGGCGCCTCAAAAATCCTCAGACCTGCTCCGGCTCCTTCCCCATCTTTGAGGCGCCTCAAAAATCCTCAGACCTGCTCCGGCTCCTTCCCCATCTTTGAGGCGCCTCAAAAATCCTCAGACCTGCTCCGGCTCCTTCCCCATCTTTGAGGCGCCTCAAAAATCCTCAGACCTGCTCCGGCTCCTTCCCCATCTTTGAGGCGCCTCAAAAATCCTCAGACCTGCTCCGGCTCCTTCCCCATCTTTGAGGCGCCTCAAAAATCCTCAGACCTGCTCCGGCTCCTTCCCCATCTTTGAGGCGCCTCAAAAATCCTCAGACCTGCTCCGGCTCCTTCCCCATCTTCTAGACGGAGCGACTGCACAACCTGTCAGCCTTCCTTCCAACTCTGGCCCCTTTCCAACCCTCACCCTAATTGCCTACATTTGAGGCTCCTAAAAAGTATTCCCCTTTCCAACCCTCACCCTAATTTCCCCCTTTTGCTGCCTCCCTCCCTTCCTCTCTCCCCATTCCGCCTGTCCCCTTTGCGATCTCCCTTCTTTTCGTAGGTTTACAGCAGCAGCAACCCAGCCAAATACCCCCAATCCAGTCACCGACGTGCGAATGAACCTCGTCCTGTAGACGTGCTCCAGCTCCTTCCCCATCTTCGAGGACGGCCAGGAGCGCCTGCTGCTTGACCCGTGTCTGACCCTGTTCCCTAATCTCAGCCTCCTCCCCTCTCTTACCCTCTCTTCCCCTCTCTTCCCCTCTCACCCCTCAGATCTACAGCAGCGGCAACCCAGCCAACTACCCCAACCTGGTGACAGATGTGCGAATGAATCTAGTCCTCCAGACATGCTCCGGCTCCTTCCCCATCTTTGAGGGTGGCCAGGAGCGCCTGCTGCTCGACCCCCTGCTCAACCCCGGCCCTGCCACACCCTTTGAGCTGAGAGACGCAGCAGAAAGGATGCCCTACACAGGGGATTTGTCAACATTCAGTGGAAACTTCATGGAATATTCAGGGGTGGACGCTGATCTGGATGCTGAGGTGGATGCTGAGGTGGATGGTGAGGTGGCAGCTGAGGAAGCTTCTCAAGACGCTGCTCGGCCTGTGCTGGAAGGTTCCTGGAATCAGGGCTCCTTCAGGGATGAAGGTCGCTCGCTTGCTGAAATGGAGCATCCTTATACTGAAGCGCCTTATACTGCAACTGAATCGCTCCATAAAGAGTCGCTTTCGCAACAGGATTCTGTGCTTGTACCCCTTACAAACATCCCACAGATGTCACGAAGCAGCAACCATCTTGGTACAGCTGATCCCATGGTGCAACCTCCTCTTCCTCCCCCCTCTCCTCCTCTCCCTCCCTCCTCTCCTCCTCTCCCTACGCCCTCTCCTGCTCTCGCTCCCCCCTCTCCTCCCCTCGCCCCCCCTCGCCTCCCCTCCCTCCCCTCTCTCCTCCTCCCCCTCCCCCCTCTCCTCCTCGCCCACCTCGCCCCCCTTCTTGGAACGTCTCAGACGATCCTGTGCTGAATTCCACGGGGTATTTACCCGTCGATATGCGCCTGGTGTGCGTTTACCCCGACTCTTTATCCCTGTTTCAACTGACGCCCCCTGCTGAGAGCAGGCTAAGAGAAGCACTTAGGAGAGCCGCCACAGGAGGGGGGGGAAGGAGAGGACAGACGGCTAGAGGTTTTGGAGGAGGGAGGAGACGAGCTCTGCCACAGTCACATTTCTTAAAGCCACACCAAACAAATTCCTATCCTTATCACCCAGCTAAGTACTCTCTCCCATTCATCCCCAAAGCCTCCCTCCGTCGCTCCCTCCAAGCCACTTTCCGAACCTCTGTCCAAACTTCCTCCCAAACCTCCTTACAAGCCTCTTCCCGAGCCTCTCTCTCCGGTCCGTGCCCCCCAGCATGCCCCCCAGACCCCTGTGCGCCGAGCCTCATAGTCCAGTGGTGGTTCACCCGCCCGCGCCCCATCCGACTGGAAGTAGCAGCGTGGGAGGAGGAGTATTCCGGTCTGCCCCCAGCACTTCTTGCTGAAGGCTTACTAAAAATGCTGGAGGGAAAGAAAGCGGCAGCTGATGGAGCCATTGATGCCGATACTGGAGGCTCGACGGGCCTGCTGCTGCCAGAGCTCTATCCGCTCTACTGGAAGCTCCCTGGGTTCGGCAAAGCCAGAGAGCTAGAAGCTGCCAAGGTAAGCCCGACCTGGCATCTTGCACCTCAGAGGTAAGGCTGGTGGTCCAGTGGTGGTTCACGCACCCCGCCCCATCCAACTTGAAGTAATAGCGTGGGAGGAGGAGTATTCTGGTCTGCCCCCGGCGCCCCTTGCCAATGGGCTGCTAGGGATGCTGGAGGGGAGGGAAACGGCTGCTGGTACTGGTGATGGTGGTAGTGGAAGTGATGGCGTTGGTAGTGCTGCTGTTACTGGAGGACGCATGGGGCTGCTGCTACCAGAGCTGAATCCAATCTGCCGGGGTTCGGCAAGGCGAGAGAGCTTGAAGCTGCCAAGGTGAGGCTGGCCTTGTGAGTTGGTTCGTACTTTTAGTGGTGGCAGTAGCAGTGGTGATGCCGGCTCTGCAGGAGCAATTGGGGTGCTGCTGCCAGAGCTGTATCCGCTCTACTGGAAGCTGCCTGGCTTTGGCCAGGCGAGAGAGCTTGAGGCCGCGACGGTAAGCTCGAACTGGCGTGTTGCACCTCAAAGGTAAGCCTACCTTGGAAGCTGCCAAGGTAGGCTTACTGGAAGCTCGACGGGATGACTTTTGAGTCGACTCAAAAGTTTACTGGAAGCTCGACGGGGCTGCTGCTACCAGAGCTGTATCCAATCTACTGGAAGCTGCCAGGGTTTGGAAAGGGAGGGAGTTAGAGGCTGCCAAGGTGAGGCTGGCCTGCCATTGGTATCTCTCGTGTTCTCGTGTCTGTGTGCCGGTTTGTGTGTTGGGGGGGTGCATGTGTGCGTGTGTACGTGCATGCGCGTGTGTCGGTGTTGTGTGCATGTGTGCTTGTGTGCGTGTGTGCGTGCGTGTGTGTGTGCTGGTGTTGTGTGCATGCGTGCGAGCGCTGTGCATGCCTCGGTGTCCTTCTGGCCCTTGTGAACCCGCCCACCCACGGCTTCATGCCGTTCCGATTCCGACATCTCATGTTGTTGTGGTGCTGGTGCTGGTGCTGGTGCTGGTGCTGGTGCTGGTGCTGGTGCTGGTGCTGGTGCTGGTGCTGGTGTTGGTGCTGGTGCTGGCACCAGCTGTGGCAGAAGGAAGATTGCTGAAAGCCTTCCTCTTTTCGCCACTATTTGCCCCCCTAAAATCAGTTCCGTTCAGCCTGCCTACAACTGCAAGATGACTCCACTGGCACCAGCAGCAGCAGTGCTAGTGGCGGTGGCAGCTGTGTGAGTGGCGGTGGCAGTGGTGGTGGCAGCAGCCATAACAGAGGGACTAATGCTGAAAGGCTCCCCTCTTTTCCCCGCTATCCACTGACCAGGTCCGTTCTGCCTGCTGCCTTCAACTTTTGAGGCGCCTCAAAGGTGGCAGCAGTCATAACAGAGGGACTAATGCTGAAAGGCTCCCCTCTCTTCCCCGCTATCCACTAACCAGGTCCGTTCTGCCTGCTGCCTTCAACTGCAAGATGACGCCTCTGGCACCAGCAGCAGTGGTGGGAGTGCCAGCAGCAGTCGCTGGTGGGTGCTGCACTGTGCTCCTCTTCCCTCTGATGCCACTGGTACTCTCGGTGTGTGCTCCTACAACACATCCACCAACGCCTCTCTCTCTCACGGAAGCACTGGTGGGGGCAGCAGCAGCAGCAGCGGATGGGGGTGGGGCAGCAGAAGGGGGGAAGCAGGAGAGGAACCACAAGGAGGGGGAGAAATTGGGGGTGTTGCAATGAGGGGGAGGGGATCGGGAGACAGTGGGGGAGTGAAGGCATTGGAAGCGTGTGGAGAGGCGTCAGGGCCTGCTGCGATCACAGTGTCGGAAGAAGTGCCGGGTAGGTGTTGTTTCGCACATATGTGCTTGCATGGAGTTACCCGGTATGTGGGGTTGCTTGGGATGTAGGAAGTCGTCTGGAAGAGGGGGTCTGTGAGAACACTCAAAGCGTGTGGAGGGGCGTCCGGGCCTGCTGCTATCACAGTGTCGGAAGAAGTGCCGGGTATGGAAGGCAGTGCGGGTATGGGAGGCAGTGCGGGTATGGGAGGCAGTGCGGGTATGGGAGGCAGTGCGGGTATGGGAGGCAGTGCGGGTATGGGAGGCAGTGCGGGTATGGGAGGCAGTGCGGGTATGGGAGGAATCACATAGACGAAAGATTTTGGAGGTACGTATGGCGTGGTAAGGGCGTCAGGGCCTGCTGCTATCACAGCGACCAAAGAAGTGCCTGGTAGGTGGGGCTAGCAGTGTGGTAAGGAAGGCAGGGGGCATACATGGCTGGATGGGATTGAAGGAATGGGGTAGTAAGGCTGCTTTTGAGACGCCTCAGAAGCGGGCTAGCGGTGTGGTTAAGGCAGGGGGCATACATAGCCGAATGGGATTGAAGGAATGGGGTGGTAAGGGCGTGTGGAGAGGCGCCAGGGCCTGCTGCAATCACAGTGTCGGAAGAAGTGCCGGGGTGGTGTTGTATCGCACATGTGTGCGTGCGGGATAAAAATAAAACTTCACAGAATCTACAACTCATAAAACTCCACTTTAAAAAAAGGCACGCATGTGTGCTTGCTTGCACGGAGGCGCCAGGTTTTGTGTTTTCTCTCCTCCCCGCCCATGCTTCCCACCCTTCTACCCCCATCACAGCTGGCGTGCTAGGGGAGGCACTGCAGACGTTCAGCACTGCAGGTCTCTACGTCACCTTCGTGCTGGCACTGGGGCGGCTCACTTGCTCCTTGTCCCAGACGCCCTTATCCCCTCTGTCTCCCCCTTCCACTCCCATCACAGCTGGCGTGCTAGGGGAGGCGCTGCAGACGTTCAGCACCACAGGTCTCTACGTCACCTTCGTGCTGGCACTGGGGCAGCTCACTTGCTCTTGTCCCAGACGCCCTTATCCCCTCTGTCTCCCCCTTCCACTCCCATCACAGCTGGCGTTCTAGGCGAGGCGCTGCAGACGTTCAGCATAACAGGCCTCTACGTCACCTTCGTGCTGGCACTCGGGCGGCTCATTCGCTCCCAGAGCTCTGATCTGAGGCTCAAAATACCCTACGAGAATCTTCCCTCCTGTGAAAGGTACGCGGTTCCATGCTCACAGCTACTCGCAGTTGGGTGCAGCCATGGGACCTTCTCTTTTGGGGCGGCTCATTCGCTCCCAGACCTCTGATCTGAGACTCAATATACCCTATGAGAATCTTCATTCCTGTGTAAGGTCTGTCCCATCTATTCACAACTAGAGTGGAAAATCATTTGGATCGGCCCACAACCTACTTAGCGTTCCGCCATCCGGAACTTTCTTGCTTTCTTTGGGAAACATTCTGTTGTTTTTCTTGTGTGTGTGTGTCTCCAACGTCTATCATTTGGTCCCATCTCCTTTTTGTTTGCCACCCGTTGCTCTTCTTGTATCCCCTTTTCTGATGCCGTGGCCTGTTATTTCTGTGTGTGTCAAAATAATGAAAATCAATGAGTAGGTTGATGGCCATATGTGAAGATTTATACGCCGCCCGAGCAGAGGGGGAGCTGGAGTTGGAAGAGGGGCTTTATTGGACTCTGATAAAGATTTATCGTTCGCCACACGTGCTCCTTGAGTACACAAAAGGCGACAAAGCCGATTGAACATGATGACGCCAGCGTGATATTACCAAGACAAAAGATTGTTGTTTCATGGTCGTAAATGTCAAGAGACGCTGGGGTTGCCCTTGAGATCCTCGGAGAAGGGTCACTGGTGCAGTGCAGAGCCTGGGGGATTATGGGCGCACTTTGTTAGATTGTCGAGAGAATGATGGACTAAGGGAAAACGTCGAGGGTTACAACATAGGGCTGTACTAGGGCCTCAGATTGGTTTTGAGGTAGGTACCCTGATTGCTCAGGGTCCCCCCTCCCATGTTTCGCCTGATTTTTTCAGGGCTCCCCAAAAAAAAAAACCGCTGAGTAATCAGGGTTACTTCAGAATATCACGCTGATGTTACGAAATTGGGAGATGGGCTGAATGGAACTCAAGGAGGGCAGGGACGGGGCAGAGTGGGGGGGGGGGGAAGGGGGGGGGGTGGGGTGGAGAAATGAGGGAGGAAGGATTCCCGCAGGAATCATGATGTTGCTGTTAGAAAAACGCAATGAACTAGATTGTCCCATACAGGGAGGTTTTGTGCTATGGTGCTGTACCCTCTTTGAGCGTGCACCTATCTAGCCTATAAAATATACAAATATATGTTGACACACCCCCTAGGCTAGACAAAAGGCGGTGCCTGGCAAGAGACACGCAGCTCAGGGTGGCACTACTAGTCCAACCTCTGAGGCAAGGGTCTGAAGACCAGTCAGCAAGAGTACAAACACGACAAGAGCAAACCATGGCGGCACTACTAGTCCGGCCACTGGAGCAAAAGCCACAAGGCCAGTCAGGAGAATATAATAAGAGTAGTACACGATCAAGGTCCTAGCAAGTGAGGAGCTACTGGATTTAGACCAAGCAGTACACAGTGCCACTGATGATCTTTAGACGCAAGCGCCTTAGTAAAGATATTAGATGTGTTGGCACCAGAGGCCAAGTGAACTACGCAGGTCTGGCGGCGCTGCTACAGCTCGCGCAGGAGGAAGTACCGCAGCTAGATGTGCTTCGCTCTGCCCTCCAGTCGAGGATCCTGACACTGGAGGATCATGGCCATGTTGTCAGCGTACAGGACCGGGGTAGAGCTAGGCTGCTCACCTAAGTCTGTGAGTAGGAACATCAGCCAGCGAAGCTCCTGTGCCGCCATGGCACCTGCGTAGATCTCAGCCTCGCAGCTAGACTGCGCAATAGACGACGAGCGAGCGGACCTCCACGAGACAGCGCCAGCACCAAGGCTAAAGCAGTAGCCCTGAGAGGACCTGAGCGTCTCTGCATCGTCGGCCCATGAAGCGTCTGTGTGCCCTGTCAGGACCACTAGCTTGCATCCTCCTAGCACTAGCCCCATGCCCGATGTACTTGCTAGATAACGCAAAACCCTCTTAGCTGCCGACCATTGCTGTGGTCGGTGTCTGCCTTTGGCCACAAAGCGAGCCATGATGCTAAGAGGGTATGCGAGATTTAAACGAGTGCAAGTCATCAGGTACATGAGGCAACCCACCAGCTCTGTGTACGGACCACTAGGCTCTACCGACTCCTCAGGGACTCGAGCCGAGAGCATGTGATCTACTGACAGAGGTGTGGGCTGCGCGGAGGAGAACTGAAGACCGAACCTCTGAACGATCCGGCGCACCAAGGGTGACTGTGTGAGAGTGATGGTGCGCTCTGCTCTGTCCCTGGAGATCTGCAGCCCAAAGTAGCAGCGCAGCTCTCCTAGGTCAGTGCAGGTGTGTCTCCTCAGCAGGTCAGCCTTCACCGAGGCCAGAGCATCTCTGTTTGCAATAGGAAAGACCAGGTCGTCTACGTAGACAAGGATGTAGAACGAGGTCTGTCCTGTAAGAACTGTAAGTCAGCTAGCGTAGCACGCAGTTCTTCCTGTCGTCCGTTGTATACGTAGTTCTGCAGACGACGGGAAGAAGTGTAAGTCAGCTAGCGTAGCACGCAGCGTGTCGTGCCACTCACGGGGCGCCTACCGTAGGTCATAAACTGGGCGCTGGAGGAGCCACTCGGTCCCAGGGGCGAAGGTGCCGGTGAACCCCGGCGAACGGCGAAGGTAGACCTGCTCGTGCAGACTGCCCAGGAGGAACGCTGTGGAGAAGTCAAGAGAGTGCAGCTTGTAGTCACGCTGAGCTGCTACGTGTAGCAGCGCCCGAAGAGTGGTCATATTCGGGGTCGGGGCAAAGGTCTGAAAGAATTCAACTACCTCGCGCTGACTAAATCCTCTAGCAATGTAGCGCGCCTTGAATACCAGCGGCTTTCCTGGAGGGCGCTTCACCTTGAAGAGCCACCGGCCATCGACTACGTTTACCCAAGGTGGGGGAACTGCGTCGACGTAGGTGCCGGTCGATCTCCAATATGCCATCTCTGCGTCCATGGCAGCTATCCACTGAGAGGCCCAGGGTCCCGAGGTCGCCTCAGTGTACGTGCGAGGGGTTGGTTGTCAAAGGCGTCTAGGTCACCCTCAGGGACTAGCAGCATGGAGCAGAGAGGAGGAGCGGCCTCGGACATGAAAGTGAGCTCGTACTACCGGTCCTCCAGGACGTCACTGTCGAGGGCAGATGCAGCCTCGACGGACAGAGGACGAGCAGGGTCAGAGACCAAAGCGGTGGCGTAGTCAAGGCGGCGGGTAGAGGCAAAGTCAGCGACGACAGCGACAAGACTCGAGACAGGAACCGACTGGTCGGTAACGAGGGAGGCAAGGACTTGAGGAACAAGAGGACTAGCGGCACGAAGATAGTCAAACAGAGGAGGCGGAGTGACAACAAGCGATGACGGAGGAGGCGACGAGAGGAGGGGAGGACGAGACGCATAGGAGCGGAACAACATAGGGTGAGAGCGCTGAAAAGGAGAGAAAGGACGAGCACGAGAGGGACGGCGAGACCAGAACTGAGACGGAGGCGTCGAGTTAGGAGACACAGGAGGAGACACGGGAGGAGAACGAGGGGGGAAACGAGACGGAGACTTGTCCGGCAGCGGAAGCACAGGGTCGTAGACAGGCAGTGGAGGCGGCAGCGGGGGAGGCACAGGTGGGTGGTCAGGGGAGGGATAACCAAGGAGGCGAAGGGCGGACACCCGCGGCGACTATTGTTGCTGATGCTGGTCCACGCTGATACCAGAACCTCCAACTGCACCACGGCTACCTCCAGGACACTCCACGCCAACACCACCAGAGCGAGAACCCTCTCCAATACCGAGGCCACCTCCAGGACCGCCGGGACGAGCCACGACAGGAACCCCAGAACTAGCACCCCCAGAACCAGCACCCCCAGAACGAGAACCCTCTCCAGCATCGGTGCCACCCCCAGGACCACCGGGACAAGCCCCGACAGGAACCCCAGGACTAGCACCCTCCTCAACGCCCGCACCCCTAGAGCTCGCGGACCCCTGCGGAACCTGCTGCTGCGGCGGCGGCGACAGCGACTGCTGCTGCGGCAGCGACGGCGGCGTCTGCTGCGACGGCGGAGGAGGAGACACTGGGGCAGAGACAGGCGGCGCGAACGGCGCCGCGGGGCCACCAGAGACAGCCGACTCCTTGACCGGGACAACCGACGGGAGGGGAGTGACGTGAGACACACCAGACAGGGCAGGACAGGGAGGGAGAGTAGCACGGGCTACCAAGGGTGTGGGAACCAGAAACAAGGGTGGGGAAACCGAGAGATCTTGGTGGGGAAAGCGGTGATAGAAGGAGACAGACTCGTCAAAAGTGACGTCACGGGAGTGAAAGAAGCGGTGAGACGGCGAGTGGTAAAAGTGCCAGTCCGCGCATCGAGGGGAAAACCAAGGAAGACACAGGGGACAGTGCGGGCGGTGAGCTTGTCCGTGCCAAAGGCACGAACGTGAGCAAGGCAGCTCCAGACGTGGAACGCAGACGCGTCACCAGGGATCTCGGTCCCGAGAAGGGTCGGCGAAACCTGCGGCCGCTGGGAGTGCGGCCACATGTTAAGCTGATGAGCGGCGTAGCGAACAGCGAACGGCCACAAAAAGTGGGGTGCATCGGCACGGATCATGGAGGTACGAGCCACCTCCATGGCCAAACCGATGCTTCGCTCAGCGACCCCATTCTGCTGCGGGGAGTCCGGTAGGGTGTACAATTGGGTGATGCCCTCCGCAGGACAGAACTGGCCAAGCCGACCGGAGGCGAACTCGCCGCCTCGGTCGAAGTGGAGACACAGCGTAGGGAGGCCACGGTGGACTTGCACAGCTACAACCCACGGGATAAGAACGCCAGGCACATCGGCCTTCCACTCCAGAGGAAACACCGTGGTGTAGCTGTGTAGTCCTCGACAAGCACTAGAAAGTAGCGCTCGCGTCGCGGCCCAGGGACGGGGGCTGGGCCTTAGACGTCCAAGTGCAGGGTATGGAGTGGCGCAGTGGTAGGGGGAAGCGAGGAGGAGTGAGGAGCATGGCACAGCCGGCCCTCGATACAAGGTGTGCACGGCGGCGCAGGCGAGAGAGGAAGTGCAGGGAGCGACACAGGGAGACCAAAGACAACACCGTGATGGGAGATGTGACGCAGACGCGGGAGTGAGCGACGGGTGAGTGAGCGACTAACACGAGCAAGCCGCAGCGACCTTGGTCGACACTGGCACCTAGGGGGACGCCCTCACCGGGGGGGACGCAGTGTCAAGCGTAAACAGGCTAGACACAGGGTCCCGGGGGAACGTGGTTAGAGGAGCACTAGTGGCGGCCTCGGTACAGACCGCGTACTGCTCGTGTCCAGGGAACTTCGTGGTGACGCCGAGGTCCAGAAGACAGCCGACATGAATTAAGTTCCTGGAGAACGAAGGGATGTGCAGGCCTGTAAGAGAACCCAAGGGGACCGCCGGACAAGGAAGGGTGGTGGAGCTACGGGCAACTACCGGACCTGAGGAGGGCTCAGCAAGCGCGACAGCGGCAGAGGCGGCAAGAGGCGTGAGTGCAGTGTGGTCGCGGAAGAAGCAGGCAGACGATCCTGAGTCAAGAGTGAAGTAGAGCGAAGCAGTAGCGTCTGCCGACGGAGGGGCTAGAGTGGAGCCTAGGCTAAACAAGGCAAGGGGTCCTACGCCTGACACAGCAGGGGAACCTAGACTACACACAGGGGACACACCTATGCTAGGCAACACCAGGTAATAGGGTCCAGTCACACTAGAGTCATCAGCATACATGGCATAAAGGCAGGCACATGACGGCGCACCATGTTGTACCAGTCTGGGGGGTCCGACGTGGGGCCGAAGCGGAGACAGAAGAGGTTGTCGAGGCGGCGGTAGCAGCGCGCGGCGGTGTGACCGGGGCGGTCATAGACGGTGCTGTGATGGGGGCCAGGCTGAAGCTGGTACTGGCAGGTGACCACACTTGAGCCGCCACCCGACACCGAGCTGCGCCCCCCTCCACCACCAG